GCAATCAGAGGTCAGACGTTTCTTGTAGTTGGCCACCAGGTTTGCACACATCTCAGGAGGGATTTTGTCCCACTCTTCTTTGCAGATCTTCTCCAAGTCATTAAGGTTTCGAGCCTGACGTTTGGCAACTCGAACCGTCAGCTCCCTCCACAGATTTTCTATGGGATTAAGGTCTGGAGACTGGCTAGGCCACTCCAGGACCTTAATGTGCTTCTTCTTGAGCCACACCTTTGTTGCCTTGGCCGTGTGTTCTGGGTCATTGTCATGCTGGAATACCCATCCACGACCCATTTTCAATGCCCTGGCTGAGGGAAGGAGGTCCTCACCCAAGATTTGACGGTACATGGCACCGTCCATCGTCCCTTTGATGCGGTGAAGTTGTCCTGTCCCCTTAGCAGAAAAACACCCCCAAAGCATAATGTTTCCACCTCCATGTTTGACGGTGGGGATGGTGTTCTTGGGGTCATAGGCAGCATTCCTCCTCCTCCAAACACGGCAAGTTGAGTTGATGTCAAAGAGCTCAATTTTTGGTCTCATCTGACCACAACACTTTCACCCAGTTCTCCTCTGAATCATTCAGATGTTCATTGGCAAACTTCAAACAGGCCTGTATATGTGCTTTCTTGAGCAGGGGGACCTTGCGGGCGCTGCAGGAGTTCAGTCCTTCACGGTATAGTGTGTTACCAATTGTTTTCTTGGTGACTATGGTCCCAGCTGCCTTGAGATCATTGACAAGATCCTCCCGTGTAGTTCTGGGCTGATTCCTCACCGTTCTCATGATCATTGCAACTCCACGAGGTGAGATCTTGCATGGAGCCCCAGGCTGAGGGAGATTGACAGTTATTTTGTGTTTCTTACATTTGAGAATAATCGCACCAACTGTTGTCACCTTTTCACCAAGTTGCTTGGCGATGGTCTTGTAGCCCATTCCAGCCTTGTGTAGGTCTACAATCTTGTCCCTGACATCCTTGGAGAGCTCTTTGGTCTTGGCCATGGTGGAGAGTTTGGAATCTGATTGATTGATTGCTTCTGTGGACAGGGGTCTATTATACAGGTTTTATACTCCCTTTAAGAGTGTGCTCCTAATCTCAGCTCGTTACCTGCATAAAAGACACCTGGAAGCCAGAAATCTTTATGATTGAGAGGGGGTCAAATACTTATTTCCCTCATTAAAATGCAAATCAATTTATAACATTTTTGACATGCGTTTTTCTGGATTTTGTTGTTGTTATTCTGTCTCTCACTGTTCAAATAAACCTTCCATTAAAATTATAGACTGATCATTTCTTTGTCAGTGGGCAAACGTACAAAATCAGCAGTGGATCAAATACTTTTTTACCTCACTGTATGATAGCCAGTGGGACAACCACTTTTTTAAAATTTATTTTTATGGGGGGGGTGGGGGAGGGAGGGGTAGAAGGATTACTTTTATACGATTCCAGGTATTCCTTAAAGAGGTAGGGTTTCAAGTGTCTCCAGAAGGTGGTCAGTGACTCCGCTGTCCTGGGGTCGTGGGGGAGCTTGTTCCACCATTGGGGTGCCAGAGCAGCTAATAGCTTTGACTGGGCTGAGCGGGAACTGTGCTTCCATAGAGGTAGGGGGGCTAGCAGGCCAGAGGTGGATGAACGTAGTGCCCTCGTTTGGGTGTAGGATCAGCGCTACCTTCAATCTCAGTGCCTCTTTGCTTGACATCATGGGAAATTAAAATAAATCAGCCAAGACCTCAGGGAAAAAAAATGGTAGACCTCCACAAGTCTGGTTCATTTTTCGGGGCAATTTCCAAACGCCTGAAGGTACCACGTTCATCTGTACAAACAATAGTACGCAAGTATAAACACCATGGGACCACGCAGCCGTCATACCGCTCAGGAACGAGACGTGTTCTGTCTCCTAGAGATGAACATACTTTGGTGCGAAAAGTGCAAATCAATCCCAGAACAACAGCAAAGGACCTTGTGAAGATGCTGGAGGAAACAGGTACAAAAGTATCTATATCCACCGTAAAACGAGTCCTATATCGACATAACCTGAAAGGCCGCTCAGCAAGGAAGAAGCCACTGCTCCAAAACCGCCATAAAAAGCCAGACTACTGTATGCAACTGCACATGGGGACAAAGATCGTACTTTTTGGAGAAATGTCCTCTGGTCTGATGAAACAAAAATAGAACTGTTTGGCCATAATGACCATTGTTATGTTTGGAGGAAAAAGGGGATGACTTGCAAGCCGAAGAACACCATCCCAACCGTGAAGCACGGGGGTGGCAGCTTCATGCTGTGGGGGTGCTTTGCTGCAGGAGGGACTGGTGCACTTCACAAAATAGATGGCATCATGAGGAAGGAAAATTATGTGGATATATTGAAGCAACATCTCAAGACATCAGTCAGGAAGTTAAAGCTTGGTCGCAAATGGGTCTTCCAAATGGACAATGACCCCAAGCATACTTCCAAAGTTGTGGCAAAATGGCTTAAGGACAACAAATTCAAGGTATTGGAGTGGCCATCACAAAGCCCTGACCTCAATCCTATAGATAATTTGTGGGCAGAACTGAAAAAGCGTGTGCGAGCAAGGAGGCCTACAAACCTGACTCAGTTACACCAGCTCTGTCAGGAGGAATGGGCCAAAATTCACCCAACTTATTGTGGGAAGCTTGTGGAAGGCTACCCGAAACATTTGACCCAAGTTAAACAATTTAAAGGCAATGCTACCAAATACTAATTGAGTGTATGTAAACTTCTGACCCACTGGGAATGTGATGAAAGAAATAAAAGCTGAAAGAAATCATTCTCTCTACTATTATTCTGACATTTCACATTCTTAAAATAAAGTGGTGATCCTAACTGACCTAAGACAGGGAATCTTTACTAGGATTAAATGTCAGGAATTGTGAAAAACTGAGTTTAAATGTATTTGGCTAAGGTGTATGTAAACTTCCGACTTCAACTGTAGATATTCCATTTTTTTCTTTCTTTTTTTTATCAGCAGTTTCCAGCTACAACAGCCATTTACAACATTAACAATGTCTACACTGTATTTCTCATCAATTTGATGTTATTTAATGGACAAAAAAAATTATTTTCTTTCGAAAACAAGGACATTTCTAAGTGACCCCAAACTTTTGAACAGTAGTGTATATGAGGACAGATGTTGGGGATCCTCTCATCCTGAGGTACATAATTTTTATTGAACGATGCCAATGTGCAAACTAAATGGAAACTAGTTTGAAATGTAATTATTTAATTTAATAAATCTGAGCTTAACTAAAACATTCAAAAATATGCACGTTTTACACTGAGAATGAATTATCAGTATCAGGGCATAGAAAGGCACCATCTTACTGAGTACTAACATACATATACACTTTTAGCTGTTAGCTAAGCCTATAGTTTATTTTGGCTCAGGCTTTGCCATGTCCCTCTGGTTTTAGCTGATGTAGTAATGCTATGAGAGACACACCCACCCACTTGGAAACCCTAAACAACAGTGAAGATTTGGATCTACTGTAGGTGGGCTATTGTAGCCTAAAGAACAGTTGACAATAAGTGAAGACTGCAGCCTAGCGGCCAGTCCCACACAGTACAGTAGTACAGAACTGAGCTGAATATGGCCAAAGCTGAAGCTATGGTTCGCCTGGACCCCTAGATTTGCATCTGAAACAGACAAATAAAATGAATAGCATCTAAAAAAAACATTCTTATTCTGCTTTAGTGTTCTTATTGGCAAATGGAAGAATTAGCAGCTTAAACTCCCACAGGGAGGCATTAAATAAAATGCAGATCACTAAATGCTGGCAAAATGCTCATTGATATAAAAAAGGTTCAGTCTGTTACTGCTTCTCCAATATATTAAATGTAAACATTTCGAGCTTTCAAACTACAAGAGTAACTGTGAAATTCACAACAAAAATCCTACCTCAATGATATAACATCTGCAAAAAAATACGTATCTTGCTCTTACCAGCTGCAATTTAAAAAAAAACTATTATCTTTCCTTCTTAATAAAAAAACAGAAATAATAACAGTTAAAACATAATTTATCTAATTTTACAAAACCCTTAGATTCTTGTATGTGAAAACAAAAAATAAATCATATTCACACAATTTCACCAAATTCCTGCAACAGGGGTTGATAGTAACTAAGTTTGTGAGATGTTTAATAACAACTGCCTGGCTTAAAGTAAGTTTGGCTACAACAACAAAAGCTAGTTTTATGGAAGCTGGCCAAAATACAAGCCAATGACATTGTGTCCCAGTGTCCCTCACATCCTCAAACCTAAATTATCATTTCAAACCAACTTTAATTTGTTTCAGGTATGGTCAAGCAGCTCTATACGGTATCTGAACAGTTCTTTAAACCTCTCCCTGTTAAAACATTTTAGAATGCAAAACATTCTTCTGATTTGGAAAGAGAAACAATCTCAGCTATTTAAAATGACCATAAAAGCAGGCTGGCATAAGGGGAGTAAAAATGAAATAAATTAACTGGATAGATGGGCCAATTTGGAACAGGGGAATTTCATGGGCTGTCTTAGCTTGCTGTGATTTGGTAGACACTAAAAAACGTTTAAATTAAAAGCAGTTAGCAGATGTCAAAAGGCTTTTTGACAGTGGTCTCAGTGGTGCAAAAGGCGAGCAGTGGCTGTGAATAGCACATATATGTACATGAAAATGATTTCTAAGAGAGAGACAGAACTGTAAAATAAAGACAGAAGAAAGTATTAAGTGTTGACACTGAATGGTTTCTATAGAAACAGAAGAACTGATCTGTATGTGTGCTAATAAACTGCTGTGTAGAGGGGGTGTGCCTCTTTCAGCCCTTTTGACCTGAGCAACATTTATTTCCACACGCATCCATATCTGTACACAGGACAGGAGAGGAACGAGGGATAGGAGAGAGGGGAAGGAGAGGTGGCGGTGTAGTAGAGCTCAGCCCATACTGTCCCACTCTACTCTGTGGACTCGGCAGCGCCCTACTCTGACTCTGGGGCTGGGCTGGGAGTCTATGTGTAGGACAGGTGCGACCCATTGGATATCTGAGAGTTGACGCTGGTGCTCCTGCTCATAGCCTGCTCACTGCGCCCCCCTGAGGCTGTCCTGCTCAGTGCCTGGGGGCTGTTCTGCACTCCTCCACTGCCTCTGGCCCCCAGGGGCCCTGCAGAGGGGTGGCCCCACGGCTGAGGACCCCCGCCTCCCTGCATGCCTTGGCCCCAGGCTTGCTGCATGGGGGACCCTCCCTGACCAGAGTGGTAATGGTGTTGGTGATGGCTGCCTTGGTGCCCTGACCCTCCACTGCCCCAGTGTGGTCCTTGAGAGCCCCCAGAGTTGTGCTGTGTCTGGGGGTGGGCCCAGCTGCCTGGGGCCCCGGGGAAGCTGTGGCTAAAGGCCTCTGGGGAGAGGTTGGACAGCACCATGTTGTTGAAGCCTAGACGCATGCTCTCTGAGTCGAACGCTTCGATCTCCCTGGCCTGGCGCTCCAGCAGGCTACGGATCCTCTCCGAACGCTCGTTCTGAAGGGCCAGCATCTCCTCCTCAATCTGAAGATACACACACACAGCTGCTCAGTACTATAATATTTTCATGTCAAAATAGAACTGGTTTAGCAATGATAACAGCAAACTCTGGAGCTTGAAATTAAATAAAGCCTAAATGTAAATTGAGACATTTTGCCACTAATACACCATGACTGCATCCCAAATGGCACCCTATTCACTTAAAAGTGCACTACTTTTGACCACAGTGCACTATACAAGGAATAGGGTGCAATTTGAGACGCAACCCATGTTGAAAATGTTCCCAGTATGGAAGATCAGACCTTCTGCTCCAGCAGGGCCCTCCGGAGGGACACTCTCTGCTCCAGGTCCTTCCTCTCGCGGTCGTGCTGGGCGTCCGTCTGCATCTTGATCTTGCTCTGGTAGGCGTTGAGTAGCTCCAGCTCCTGCTGCAGCTGCATCCTCAGCACCTGGCACTGAGCCTCCTGAGCCTCATCCAGACGCAGCTAGAGACGAGACGGGAGCCAGACAGGGGGTCAGCACAATGATACAGGGATACTTTGTGATTTTGGCAATGAGGCCCTTTATCTACTTCACCAGAGTCAGATGAACTCGTGGATACCAGTTTTATGTCTCTGTGTCCAGTATGAAGAAGGTTAGTGGTAGTTCGGCAAGCCAATGCTAGCTAGCGTTAGCACAATGACCGGATGCCTATGGGTATGTGCTAGCGTGCTAGTTAGCAACTTCCTTCAATCTGCACGCAGAGAGATAAGAATGTTACCCACGAGTTCATCCGACTCATTGCCAAAATGCCTATCATCAGTAGTCAGCTTTTTAGAAACTCATCCCCTCTCCTGCCTCCCTCCCCTGCAGTGTTTACAAAGTCCCTGTGTGACTCACAGCCTGTGTGGAGAGCATCTCGTTGATAGAGTGGTCGTACTGCTCAGCCAGGATTGCCAGCTTGCGGGTCTGCTCCTCCTTTAGACGCTTCAGGACAGCCTTGTGGTCAGACTTTGGTGTGCTCTCCAGTAGATGGTTCCTCAGAGCCTTGTACTGCCTGGTCTGGATCTTACATGTGTCTTGGAACTGCTTCTTAATCTGGAGCTCTTTGGACTGGGACAGAGGAGGGAGGAGAGAGGACAAACAGAACAGTGAGGGGTCAGGTCTGGAGCTCTTTGGACTGTGACAGAGGAGGGAGGAAGAGAGGACAAACAGAACAGTGAGGGGTCAGGTCTGGAGCTCTTTGGACTGGGACAGAGGGAGGACAAACAGAACAGTGAGGGGTCAGGTCCCTACATAACGGCCATTAACGGTAACACAAAACAACAGTTTATGGGAATCGCGTGTGTGTTAGTATACAATGTGTGCTCACCTTGAGGCTCTTAGGCTGCTGTCGGACCTCCATGACGTGTTTGCGTCGGAGCTCTCTCTCCCTCCTCTTGTTGTACTCCTGCTGGTTGGTGAGTTCTGTCTGGTGCTGCAGGCGGATCAGCTCAGCCCTCATCTTCTGGATGGTGTTGACCTGGCGGAACTCCAGCTCCTGCATGGACTCATGGTGCCGCAGCAGCATGGCATGCTCCAGGTCCTTCTGCGTCTGACGCTTATTCAGCTCCTACACACAGACGGACAGGCAGGGAGGAAAAACCATACAGGTTAGGATAAAAGTGCATTCTATAAGAGAAAGGGCAGCATGACGACCAGAGAATGAGATCACACAGGGGAAAGGTATGGTTACAAAACGTATGGAAGTGGGAAAATTTGCAGAACCCACAGCTGAGCCATGGTTACAAAACGAAGACAGAGCAGGCAAGGGGGCCCTGTTTTGAGGAGAGTGAGAGGAACAAGGGACTGTATGAATGAGGAGAGCTGAGTGATCACTGCTGACCTCTCTCACTAGGTCCTGCTCCACGTTGTGGCGAGCGATGAGGATCCTCCTCTTGAAGCGTCGACACTCCAGCTCCAGGTACTGTCTCTGTCTCCTCAGCAGGTTGGCCTCCTCCTCAGCCTGGAAGTGCTGGAAGTTCTCCTTCTGCTTGGACAGCCACTCTTGCTTCTCCTTCTTAGGGGTTGACTGGTTCTCATTCAACTCCTGGGTGAAGAACAAGGACAGAGATTAAAGGGGAAATCTGCAGTTACTACATCCATTTTTTGATATAAACCCATTGATTCTTGAAGAGTATAACTTATAAATGCCTCATGAGCTTAGTTCAACTGTCGTACCCCATCAGAACCCAAAATATAAGCTTGTTTTCCCAATGTTTGTAAACAAAGTAAATGTAAACAAAACACTGTATAACCTCAAAACATGGTTAAAACTATAATTTTTATATCATGGATGGTCAGTCCTTGCATCCATAGCTCTATCTATGAATTTGAGTGTGGTTACATTTTCTTCAGCCCCATCCCTCAACCTTTTACCGGATCAGTGGCAAGGATTTGCTTTGTTATCGTTTCAACTGCAGATTGCCGCTTTAAGAAATTCTAAATGGGAGATTGATGTCCATATTTGCACATTTTCTGTAAAGGTTTGAGAGCTCATACAGTTGAGCGCTTCAAGTTCTGCTTAAACTGCTCAGCCTCCGACTACAAGGCACTACAGAGGGTAGTGCGTACGGCCCAGTACATCACTGGGGCCAAGCTTCCTGCCATCCAGGACCTCTATACCAGGCGGTGTCAGAGGAAGGCCCTAAAAATTGGCAGACTCCAGCCACCCTAGTAATAATAATAATAATTATAATAATAATAATAATAATAATAAGCCATTTAGCAGACGCTTTTATCCAAAGCGACTTACAGTCATGCGTGCATACATTTTTGTGTATGGGTGGTCCCGGGGATTGAACCCACTACCTTGGCGTTACAAGCGCCGTGCTCTACCAGCTGAGCTACAGAGGACCACAAGTCATAGACTGTTCTCTCTGCTACCGCACGGCAAGCGGTACGGAGCGCCAAGTCTAGGTCCAAGAGGCTTCTTAACAGCTTCTACCCCCAAGCCATAAGAATCCTGAATAGCTAATCAAATGGCTACCCAGACTATTTGCATTGCCCCCCCCCCCCCCCCCCTTTGTTTACGCTGCCGCTACTCTGTTTATTATCTATGCATAATCACTTTACCTCTACCTACATATTACCTAATTTACCTCGACTAACCTGTGCCCCCGCACATTGACTCGGTACCAGTACCCCCTGTATATAGCCTCACTAGTGTTATTTTATTGTTGCTCTTTAATTATTCGTTATTTTTCCAACTTTTTTTTTTTTACCTTCAGTTTATTAAAGTAAATACTTCCTTAACACTTATTTTTCTTAAAACGGCCATTGTTGGTTAAGGGCTTGTAAGTAAGCATTTCACTGTAAGGTCTACTACACCTGTTGTATTCGGCGCATGTGACAAATAACATTTGATTTGTCTTTCATTGAGTCTGACATGCTGAGAGGACTATGTAGGCCAACAATGGTGCATGTCATGTGTTTATTCTTCAAATGATACAGCAATGATTGAAGCCTTTGTATACTGTGTGTATAGCCGTAAATGTGACTATGTTCATCTGTATGACCGCATGTGATTCTCTACCTCTTTCAGCTGCTCCTTGCGGAGTTTGTACTCTCGTTTCTGGGACTCTAGGAAGCTGTTGAGCTCTTTCTTCTGCTGGCTCTGGATGTGCTGCTGGAACTTCTTCTCATCATTGGTAAAGGTCTTTGCCTGCAGACACACACAAAATAAACACTTGAAAACGCCCCCAAAACTTAATTTCAAACAAGACCTTTTAACAGCGACCTAGGGAACAGTAGTAGAATCTAGACAAAGTATGAATGATGGAGTAAGTGTGCAAACGACGTACATCTTTCTCCATGGCGGCCTGGTGCTTCTTAATGAGTTTCTCCATCTCCTGGGCGAAGCTGTTCCTCTGGTTCTCCAGCTCTTTGTCCAGACGGAGCCGGTGTTCGTCCATCTCAGCCTTCACCTTGTTCTCCAGGGCCATCAGGTGCTTCTGGTGCTGCCTCCTCATCCTCTTATAGCCTGACATCTGCTCTCTCAGCTCACTGTCCTGCTCGTGCTCCTTCATCTGACGGGTCACCTGGGGGGGAACATAGGGCTTATCATAGAACTCTGGACTCCGATTATACTCTCCTACCGGAGCAGACACTTAAAAGCCCAATGCAGCCGTTTTTATCTCAATATCAAATCATTTCTGGGTAACAATTAAGTACCTTACTGTGATTGTTTTAAATCAAAATGCTCAAAATGAAACAAATAGCTACTTAGCAAAGAGCAATTTCTCAAGCTAGAATTTTTTGGTAGGACTGTCTGGGAGTGGTCTGAGTGGGGAGGGGAACACTGAAAACTAGCTGTTATTGGCAGAGAGGTTGGAACTCTTTCTTATTGGTCTATTAACTAATTTGATGTCACCAGGCAGGCCAAAACACCACCAAAACAGGCTGACATTTCAGGCAGTCTTTTCAAACAGCTTTTACACTAAAATGGCATTATAATCATTTTCACAGTATTATTCCAACCTCAGTGTGGAAATGTAAAATACAGGAAAATAACATTTTTGACTGCACTGGGCCTTTAAGGGTCCATTTTTAAATCATGTTAACTACAGTATCATTGTATTTCTAGGGCTCGATGTGCTCTTACCAGGGAGGCTGTGCGTATTGTGGCAAAGTGCTCGCGGTTGCGGTGGTGTTTTGGCCGTGGAGTGTGTGCAGGGGGAGACTGGGGCTCAGTGGGTGGCCGGCTGTTAGGTTCAGACTCTTCGCGATAAGTCGTCGCCTCCTCCTGAGGAAACAAATACAACGCAGCACATCAACAGCAGAAAAATACTGCTTACAAATAATCTGTGAAAGGCACCAGGAAACACTATCATCACTATGTCTTGCATTTCACCGAATCATCTCACTATAATTAACGCAGTGTCCAGTTATCCTGCGAGTCCAGCTCTAAGATCATCTCTACCCACCGGTTTGAGGTGAATGACGGAGCTGTTGGACATGACCGTGTGGTCTCCCTCCATCATGTCCAGTTCACTCTTGTCATCTCCGGCGTCGGTCAGGCTGTTGACAGAGCTGCTCTGGGAGCTGGCGCTGATCGACATACTGGGGATAGACTGGTTACTGCCAACGCTGCTCACTGTGCCTGTCCTGCCACTGTGCTCCGGTTCCTGGGGACAACGCCATAACAACAGCAAGACACAGGTAGGTGAAATGCTTTCTGAATGACAGTGTGTCAACTATAGCAGGTTATGAGCAGAGGATAAACAGGAACAACTGAATGTTGAGAGAATCTTTCAGCCCCACCAGGCCTACATTTACATTTTAGTCATTTAGCAGACGCTCTTATCCAGAGCGACTTACAGTTAGTGAGTGCATTTCATAATGGCCCCCCGTGGGAATAATGGCCTACCTTAACCTTAATATATGAGTGCATTTAGAGAAACTACTATTAAACAATTTCCTTGTTTAAAACACAACTAAATCTACTTAAAGTCTATATGTTGTATTAGTAGGTAATGATTTGATGTATTGTGATTTTTTTTTTTTTTTTTGATGTAATGTTGCTGAATTTTGTTTGTGTGTTGTTTTCTACTTTATGCGCATTTACAAATTAAATATTATTATTATTATTATTTCTAGCCTACCTAGGCTGTTTTCAAAGACTACAATGGTTCTGGTATAAACAATGCTAATCTCAAACTAAGATCCACAGGAGAGCAGAGACAGATTGGGTGACTGACCTCCTCGTCTCCGTCCTGTGCCTCGGCCGTAGGGCCGTTGTGAGCCTCCTGGAAGAGGATTTTCTTCATCTTGCGGTACTGCAGGTTGTCCAGCTCCCGCACCGCAACCTTGGTCCTCACGATCAGGTCCATCAGGACAGAGTCGGGCCGCTCCCGCTGCACAAACGCATGCTGAGAAAGAGAGGGAGGCAGAGGGGTCAATCAATTTATTTTGAGTTGAGGGTGGGTATGATTCACGTTTATTTATTTATTTAACGTACACTCAAAATCAAGTCAACAGAGCTAGCTAGATATATATCTATCTGTTTTGGCATTGGTAGATCATGATAATCATAAATAAGATACCTTTAACAGTTCCTCAGAGTTGGGCCTGTCTTGGGGGAATTTCTGAAGGCAAGAATCCACAAAGTTTGGGAAGTAATCCGTCCTGAAGTGAGAGATGGTTACAAGAGGGAAGAGTTAGTTTCATTCTCACCATGACACACTTTAAAAGTGGACAAATGCCTTCTCCTAAAGAATAAGTCAACTCTGATGAAGCTACATGACATACCATTCACTTGACTGCAGTGTGGGGCTTTCATTCTGCGCTATGTGATATAAGGCACTCATCGCATTCATATTGAACAGTGGAGGTTTTCTCTCCGCTAGAAACAAAGAGATTAGAGAAAACAATAGCTTACCAAGATCCACTAACAGTAAACCATAACAAGGAAGAATACAGATAGACATGTCATATTAAAGTACTAGGAAGACAGACAAAAGCTATCAGATGTACAGTGCCTTCGGAAAGTATTCAGACCCCTTGACTTTTTCCATATTTTGTTACGTTACAGCCTTACTCTAAAATTGATTTCTAAAAAAATTCCCCTGGACTCCCGAGTGGCGCAGCGGCCTAAGGCACTGCATCTCAGTGCTTGAGGCGTCACTACAGACCCGCTGGTTCGATTCCAGGCTGTATCACAACCGGCCGTGATTGGGAGTCCCATAGGGCGGCGCACAATTGGCCCAGCGTCGTCCGGGTTTGGCCAATGTAGGCCGTCATTGTAAATAAGAATTTGTTCTTAACTGACATGCCTAGTTAAATAAAGGTAAAATTAAAATAAATAGACACACAATACCCCATAATGACAAAGCAAAAACAGTTTTTTAAAAGTTTTTTGCTAATTTATCAAAATAAAAATACACTTATTCAGACCCTTTACTCAGTACTTTGTTGAAGCACCTTTGGCAGCGATTACAGCATCAAGTCTTCTTGGGTATGACGCTACAAGCTTGGCACACCTGTATTTGGGGAGTTTCTCCCATTCTTCTCTGCAGATCCTCTCAAGATCTGTCAGGTTGGATAGGGAGCTTCGCTGCACAGCTATTTTCAGGTCTCTCCGGAGATGTTTGATCGGGTTCAAGTCGGGGCTCTGGCTGGGCCACTCAAGGACATTCAGAAGCCACTCCTCTGTTGTCTTGGCTGTGTGCTTAGGGTCGTTGTCCTGTTGGAAGGTGAACTTTTGCCCCAGTCTGAGGTCCTGAGCGCTCTGCAGCAGATTTTCATCAAGGATCTCTCTGTTCTTTGCTCCGTTCATCTTTCCCTCGACCCTGACTAGTCTCCCAGTCCCTGCCCCTGAAAAATATCCCCACAGCATGATACTGCCAAGTTTCCTCCAGACGTGACGCTTGGCATTCAGGCCAAAGAGTTCAATCTTGGTTTCATCAGACCAGAGAATCTTGTTTCTCATGGTCTGGGAGTCTTTAGGTGCCTTTTGGCAAACTCCAAGCAGGCTGTCATGTGCCTTTTACTGAGGAGTGGCTTCCGTCTGGCCACTCTACCATAAAGGCCTGATTGGTGGAGTACTGCAGAGATGGTTGTCCTTCTGGAAGGTTCTCCCATCTCCATAGAGGAACTCTGGAGCTCTGTCAGAGTGACCATCGGGTTCTTGGTCACCTCCCTGACCAAGGCCCTTCTCCCCCGATTGCTCAGTTTGGCTGGGCGGCCAGCTCTAGTTAGAGTCTTGGTGGTTCCAAACTTCTTCCATTTAAGAATGATGGAGGCCACTGTGTTCTTGGGGACTTTCAATGATGCAGAAATGTTTTGGTACCCTTCCCCAGATCTGTGCCTCGACACAATCCTGTCTCGGAGATCTACGGACAATTCCTTCGACTTCAAGGCTTGGTTTTTGCTCTGACATGCACTGTCAACTGTTGGACCTTATATAGACAGGTGTGTGCCATTCCAAATCATGTCCAATCAATTGAATTTACCACAGGTGGACTCCAATCAAGTTGTAGAAACATCTCAAGGATGATCAATGGAAACAGGATGCACCTGAACTCAATTTCGAGTCTCATAGCAAAGGGTCTGAATACTTATGCAAATAAGGTATTTCTGTCTAAAAACCTGTTTTCACTTTGTCATTATGGGGTATTGTGTGTAGATTGCTGAGGATTATTTTATTTTTTATCCATTTTAGAATAAGGCTGTAACGTAACAAAATGTGGAATAAGTCAAGGTGTCTGAATACTTCCTGAAGGCACTGTATTATTCAAACCAGTATGAAGAAGAAGAAAAAATGGTCTACTTTCTTCTCTGGCCAGATATTGGTTTAAGATATGGAATGAATAAAGGAGAGCATTAAAACAACAGGAGAGCTAGTCTAGAGTTGAACCAGAGCAGAGTACATGGACTAGTGAGCTTACCTAATTCAATGCAGGTTATTCCCAGAGACCAGATGTCGATCTTCCCATCGTACTGACCTTCGTCCATAGCCAGGATTACCTCTGGGGCCATCCTGAGGAAACATCCCCATTTTAATGACCGGTACACCACTTTCGATTTGATGGAAAATATTGAATGAGACTGTAGAGGGTGCCCCATTTCTAAATTCTTCCCCATATTTCAAACACCATCTATTTTGTCTCGTACATTGGAATTTTTGCCACTCACCAATATGGCGTCCCCACAAAAGAGTTGGCTGGAGAGACAATGGAGGCAGAACCAAAATCTGCAAGTTTCACCTGGCCAGGTTCGGTCAGCAAGACGTTCCCTGCCTTGATATCTCTGTCAGACAGACAGGGGAGAGAGATTGTGTCATTACAGCTTTGTTCCACTGGCACAGGCACACTCCCTCCCTGAGGGCACAAAGTAGTCAGTCTAACACGTCCACACATACAGGTCCTAGGAGGACTCACCGGTGAATCATGTTGTGGGAATGAAGGTAAGCTAGCCCTTGTAGAGCACCGTGGGTAATCGCTGCTATTTCCATTTCTTGTAGAGGTTTCTTGTGAACTACAGAGGATGTAGAGAGAGAGGATGAGAGTGCTGCAAATAATGGGGAAAACCACAAAGAAGAACTAGTCTTATAATCATCATTGTGTCATAAAAACTGCCATCTTACCTTCCAGGACATCGGAGGCAGAGCCTAGACAGTACTCCATCACCAGCTACAGAGACAGAAAGAGAGTGTGTTCTACTGGGTTAAAATAATGTACAGTTTCAGAGTATTCACCACGTTATCATAGCATTATGACCTATGGTTTATATTTTCCATTCAGATAACACCCTTACCCAGGCAGTGTGCTCTCGCAGATAGCATCCTTTATACTCTATGCTGTTTGGGTGCTGTATTCTCTGCAGAAACTTCACCTCCTTGATTATGTCTTGCCATTTCTGTAAGGTAAAACAGTGGAACGATTACATCGTGTTTGCATAACAAGCTTTAAAAGGACCAATCTGCAGTTGAAACAATAAAGCGGCCTCTTGTTTTGGTAGAAAGCTGAGGGATGCGCATGGAGAAATGTAACCACTCAAATTCATACACTGACCATCCACGATATCACAATTATAGTTTTAAGCATGTTTTGAGGCTATACAGTGTTTGCTTACATTTACAATGTTTACAAATACTGGAGTAAAACAAGCGTATATATTTTGGGTTCCGATGGGGTAATACTGTTGAACTAAGCTCATAAGTTATATTCTTCAAGAATCAATAGGTATATAATTCATGTATAAGTCCATAAATGGATGTAGCAACTGCAGATTGCCCCTTTAAACAATAAGGATATAGATGCAGGCTGAAACTATTGTGTGTTCTACATGGAACTTTAGTTACTTCCCTTTGATTTCCACTCTACTTCTTTGGGTTAATTAATTACCCAATCCAGTCATTTTGCCAGATTCAAATCTAATTATCAACTGTTTTTAGACTGAATCCTAGGGAATAGGCCACTGAATTGCAGTTCCACTACTTTAAGCAAATAAGCTTATCTCCAGCTAGATGTTTTAATTCAAAACTGATGAGAAACACAACAAATCCTTTCGGAGACCAAACCTTTCAGAAACTGTAGGCCTAATGCTCCAAACTCACTGAGGACAGGATCTTGAAGGAATAGGCCTTGTTAGATTACATGCTAATGAGCCTTTTCACTGTAAATCAATATTGAGGCAGCAAACAAAACTTCAGCAACAGCCCTCTTCTGTGTCAACTCATTGAAGTTGGGTAACCTTTATAACATGAAGCAATTGTTTCCTGGAGAACACATGATGTGTCATCACACCACTGATTAAATAAATTATCATGGGATTAATAGATCATATTGTTTGTCCTCCGTGCAGACATTGTCACACAATTATCTGATTTCATATTTTTGAGCTGTGTACTTTTCTGAAAAAAGTATTATATTTGCAAATGAGTGAGAGATGCTTACTAACAAAACTAGAATGATGAAAGGTGCTGGATTGTATCCATAACAACGTAACCTGACCCTGGTAACAGGTGTGACATTTTGGGCTGAATCTATTGTCTTTTAACTGATTGGTGTAACATCAATGGCATTTGATGCACAATCTGTCTCTTACCTCGTTGGATTGTTTTCCACTGTAAGACATCTTCTTGATGGCCACCACCTCAGTGGTCCGCACATCTCGTGCCTGAAGAAAAATACAAAGTCAACACCCTGCCCTATATCTTAAACAATTCTGAATGGAAGTCCAGCTCTGTTACTGAGCACAGAGTGGCGGGTCCAAGTACTCACAAAATAGACGGCACCGAAGCTGCCATGTCCGATCTCTCGCAGGTCTGAAAACAGTTTCTCAGGGTCCTCCTTGAAGAAGAGCTCAGCAACATCAGGGTCCTTCAGGCTCCCCGCCCGACTGGTGTTGGGCATGCTGAGGGGGGGACGTGCCAGTGCCAGTGCCGCCACCGCGGCCAGGGATTATCCGGATGTGCGACAGCGACGCGACAGCCCCCACCGACAGCTCATCTGCAGGACAACGGCCTCATATGTGTACACACCTGGGGGGATGGAGAGGACAGAGAGTGAGTACTAGCACAACAGCACTAAACAAGCACATTAATAGAATCATTTTTAACATTTTAGTCATTTATCAGAAGCTCTTATTTACAGCGATTTACAGTAGTGAGTGCATACATTGTTCGTACCTATTTGTACCGGTGACCCGTAGGAATCGAACCCACAACCCTGACATTGCAAGTGCCATGCTCTTGGCGACAGATTTTTATGCGAATATTCTAAAATATGCATGATGTAAATATGCACATTTTCCCACCAGTGGTGTTTCCACCAAACGGACTTGTTGAGGATAAAAATCTGCGTGATGACGTAGTTTTCACGAAATGTACTTTTTCACTTAAGTTTTCCTGTACCTAATACAAATCTAATGTTCAATGTGTTTCCATCGCACTTCCAACAGTTTTGTCACAAAAACTGTTGAGTTAAATAGCAAATGTGCCTACTCTGGTCTTGGCATGTGTGCTCTAGCCAATAGCTGGCAGATACAGTGTGGGCAGGCTGCGCAGGTAGGCTAGTCTGCATGATGAGATTATTAGGGATAAGAGCAAGAATATTTGTCAAACGGCAGTCAAGCATCGACCATCATGTCACCAGAATCAGACCTTCGATATTTATTGGAAAGGTGCATCAAGATCACTGTGAACTTCATAAGTTATTTGATCTGTAGCCAGTGGTGTGTTCTCATGGATGGCAAGGGAAGCCAGTCTTCCCCCCAAAAAATAACTAAGATATATATACAGTGGGGGAAAAAAGTATTTAGTCAGCCACCAATTGTGCAAGTTCTCCCACTTAAAAAGATGAGAGAGGCCTGTAATTTTCATCATAGGTACACGTCAACTATGACAGACAAAATGAGAAAAAAAAATCCAGAAAATCACATTGTAGGATTTTTTATGAATTTATTGGCATATGATGGTGGAAAATAAGTATTTGGTCAATAACAAAAGTTTCTCAATACTTTGTTATATACCCTTTGTTGGCAATGACACAGGTCAAACGTTTTCTGTACGTCTTCACAAGGTTTTCACACACTGTTGCTGGTATTTTGGCCCATTCCTCCATGCAGATCTCCTCTAGAGCAGTAATGTTTTGGGGCTGTCGCTGGGCAACACAGACTTTCAACTCCCTCCAAAGATGTTCTATGGGGTTGAGATCTGGAGACTGGCTAGGCCACTCCAGGACCTTAAAATGCTTCTTACGAAGCCACTCCTTCGTTGCCCGGGCGGTGTGTTTGGGATCATTGTCATGCTGAAAGACCCAGCCACGTTTCATCTTCAATGCCCTTGCTGATGGAAGGAGGGTTTCACTCAAAATCTCACGATACATGGCCCCATTCATTCTTTCCTTTACACGGATCAGTCGTCCTGGTCCCTTTGCAGAAAAACAGCCCCAAAGCATGAGGTTTCCAACCCCATGCTTCACAGTAGGTATGGTGTTCTTTGGATGAAACTCAGCATTCTTTGTCCTCCAAACATGACGAGTTGAGTTTTTACCAAAAAGTTATATTTTGGTTTCATCTGACCATATGACATTCTCCCAATCCTCTTCTGGATCACCCAAATGCACTTCAGACGGGCCTGGACATGTACTGGCTTAAGCAGAGGGACACGTCTCGCACTGCACGATTTGAGTCCCTGGCGGCGTAGTGTGTTACTGATGGTAGGCTTTGTTACTTTGGTCCCAGCTCTCTGCAGGTCATTCACTAGGTCCCCCCGTGTGGTTCTGGGATTTTTGCTCACCGTTCTTGTGATCATTTTGACCCCACGGGGTGAGATCTTGCGTGGAGCCCCAGATCGAGGGAGATTATCAGTGGTCTTGTATGTCTTCCATTTCCTAATAATTGCTCCCACAGTTGATTTCTTCAAACCAAGCTGCTTACCTATTGCAGATTCAGTCTTCCCAGCCTGGTGCAGGTCTACAATTTTGTTTTTGGTGTCCTTTGACAGCTCTTTGGTCTTGGCCATTGTGAAGTTTGGAGTGTGACTGTTTGAGGTTGTGGACAGGTGTCTTTTATACTGATAACAAGTTCAAACAGGTGCCATTAATACAGGTAACGAGTGGAGGACAGAGGAGCCTCTTAAAGAAGAAGTTACAGGTCTGTGAGAGCCAGAAATCTTGCTTGTTTGTAGGTGACCAAATACTTATTTTCCACCATAATTTGCAAATAAATTCATTAAAAATCCTACAATGGGATTTTCTGGATTTTTTTTTCTCAATTTGTCTGTCATAGTTGACGTGTACCTATGATGAAAATTACAGGCCTCTCTCATCTTTTTAAGTGGGAGAACATGCACAATTGGTGGCTGACTAAATACTTTTTTTCCCCACTGTATATACCTTTTGTTGGCAATGACACAGGTCAAACGTTTTCTGTAAGTCTTCACAAGGTTTTCACACACTGTTGCTGGTATTTTGGCCCATTCCTCCATGCAGATCTCCTCTAGAGCAGTGATGTTTTGGGGCTGTCGCTGGGCAACACGGACTTTCAACTCCCTCCAAAGATTTTCTATGGGGTTGAGATCTGGAGACTGGCTAGGCCACTCCAGGACCTTGAAATGCTTCTTACGAAGCCACTCCTTTGTTGCCCGGGCGGTGTGTTTGGGATCATTGTCATGCTGAAAGACCCAGCTACGTTTCATATTCAATGCCCTTGCTGATGGAAGGAGGTTTTCACTCAAAATCTCACAATACATGGCCCCATTCATTCTTTCCTTTACATGGATCAGTCGTCCTGGTCCCTTTGCAGAGAAACAGCCCCAAAGCATGATGTTTCGACCCCCATGCTTCACAGTAGGTATGGTGTTCTTTGGATGCAACTCAGCATTCTTTGTCCTCCAAACACGACGAGTTGAGTTTTTACCAAAAAGTTCTATTTTGGTTTCATCTGACCATATGACATTCTCCCAATCCTCTTCTGGATCATCCAAATGCACTCTAGTAAACTTCAGACGGGCCTGGACATGTACTGGCTTAAGCAGGGGGACATGTCTGCACTGCAGGATTTGAGTCCCTGGCGGCGTAGTGTGTTACTGATGTTTGGCTTTGTTACTTTGGTCCCAGCTCTCTGCAGGTCATTCACTAGGTCCCCCCGTGTAGTTCTGGGATTTTTGCTCACCGTTCTTGTGATCATTTTGACCCCACGGGGTGAGATCTTGCGTGGCGCCCCAGATCGAGGGAGATTATCAGTGGTCTTGTATGTCTTCCATTTCCTAATAATTGCTCCCACAGTTGATTTCTTCAAACCAAGCTGCTTACCTATTGCAGATTCAGTCTTCCCAGCCTGGTGCAGGTCTACAATTTTGTTTCTGGTGTCCTTTGACAGCTCTTTGGTCTTGGCCATAGTGGAGTTTGGAGTGTGACTGTTTGAGGTTGTGGACAGGGGTCTTTTATACTGATAACAAGTTCAACAGGTGCCATTAATACAGGTAACAAGTGGAGGACAGAGGAGCCTCTTAAAGAAGAAGTTACAGGTCTGTGAGAGCCAGAAATCTTGCTTGTTTGTAGGTGACCAAATACTTATTTTCCACCATAATTTGCAAATAAATTCATTAAAATTCCTACAATGTGATTTTCTGGATTTTTTTCTTCTCAATTTGTCTGTCATAGTTGATGTGTACCTATGATGAAAATTACAGGCCTCTCTCATCTTTTTAAGTGGGAGAACTTGCACAATTGGTGGCTGACTAAATACTTTTTTCCCCCACTGTATATGTTTTAATTCCTTCAAATTTGCAAAAGGCTGAATGTATCTCACAGGAGAAAGCATCAGAGCAAGCGAAACAGCGCCCCTCTGTCTCTCTACGTGTAGGCCATCTATCTGATGCTGTCTGGTCCAAACGAATATGACATTGTTGCCGCCCGTAGCATTGAAGGCAAGGGAAGCCAGCTAGCATCTGGCCTCCCTTGACAAAAAAAAAAAGTGTACAAAATTAGCCAATCAGCATTGAGCGACCTCAACTGTGAATGGTCCCGGCTCCCCCCCCAAAAAAAAGTGTCATGGGAAGCCAGCTTGGATTTGGCATCACTCCTATCAAATCCCATTGAGACCATACATCATTGACAGAAAAACTTAAATTGTTGCATCTCCTTGTGTTGTTATCCTCTGTTGGCTACCTAGCCAGCTAGCTAAAATTGGCCCTTTCCTAAATTAGCCATGGATGGAGATAGGGATTTGGACTTGTGGTTTTACTTAATTCTCCGTACTGGCCAATGATTATAAAGGTGATTCTGATCCAACCATTAATTCATACATTGCGCCCCTGGCCTGAGAGGATGGAAGTTCAATACATAGCTAGATGTAGAAGGCTAATGTTAACTAGCTAACCTTGCCCATGAATGGATGTTAGGCTAGCGAGCAAGCATATTTAGCCAGGTAGCCTAGGACAACAAAAAATAAAAGCGCGTACTGTATGACAGAGTGATAGACCGTTTCGTCAACATGAAAGAGAGGAGGATGGCATTAGCGTTTCTCTACAAGTAGGGTGAGTCAACATGTTTTTCTACTTGCACGAATGCGCACACACACAGAATTCAGAGCCACATCATATTTCGCTTACGTTGATCGGACTAAATCGTTTCTGCTATCTTTTAGTTGTCACTGTATTAGCAGAGGTGATTTGATTATGTTGAAATGTTGAAGTTGAAATGGTGCTGGAATAGTGGAGGCAGCTCCTGTTTTCTTTGCGACTTGTGGTAACTCTTACTGGTCCCAAACTTTCGGAAACTTTTACTTTGTTGACCATGCAATATGCTTTGTGGACTTCACTGGACAGAGGTTGCTATCTGGTTTTGGAATAAAACAAAGGTGTGGTTGAATTTATTCTGCCACTGTGTCTTCTTATTGTCTCTGCCTTA